ATCCTGTTTTCCTCCTTTGGCTTTGACGCTTTATGGTTGCTTGGGTTTTTGACTAGGGTTGCTTCACTACATAAAGAGAGTTATATATATTATTATACTAATGTATGCTGAGACTATTTTACCCCTAACAATATTTACTAGTTTGTCATTGGTGTGTTTATATAAGACGCTCTATTGTTCGACCTAGTAATAAAAATCACATGGATTAATAAAAGAAGTTATGTTCTTTTTTGCTATGTTCCATTCTTTTTTCTCATCTTCTTCTACAGTCTTTTAGCTTTCCTTTTATGGTATTGATGCCTATTGCTCCAAAGCACAATGGATTCAAGCCCATCAGTATCAACTCAAGAAGGTTAGCTTACTGCAAAGTCTTACAACAAATTCAAAGAGATAGGTATTCCTATTGCATTAAAATTCTTGTTGTCTCAAATGAATAATATAACTGGAACAAGTTTAACTCAAGATAATTACTCTATTTAGAAAGTTTAGATATCAAAATTACCTGCTACTAATATCTTTGACCCTTTTCTTGATAACTAAATTTCTTAGCCACCTAGGCATGTTTCTGATACCAAAGACCAAGTAATAGAAAATCAAGATTACCTCTTATTGAAAATGACAAATAGAAATCTCGCTACGAAAATATTTTCTACCATTTCTCCCTTAATTTTATCATATATTCTTCATCTAAGCACCACTGCTGAGATTTGGTAGACTCTGGAGAGATTTCAGGCATCCAATAGATCTAGGTCATTCAATTAAAAAATGAACTCCACAATATCACTATAGGATCAAGCACCATGACTCAATAACTAACTATTGGCAAGAATCCGGTAGATAATATTACTACAGCAGGGGCCAAAGTAGACACTAAAGATATTATCCTCTATACCTTGAATGCTCTACCTCTAAGTTATCTAGGGTTCAAGATAGCTATTTGAACAAATTTACAACCTCATTTACTTGAAGATTTTTATGCTCTATTACATAGTTAAGAATGCAATATTGCTAATGAAACAACAGTAATTACACAACAAACAACCTTGCTTACTTTCAAGAATAGAGGAGGAGCAAGAAATTCTAATTAAGAATTAAGCTAACAACAAGAACACACCAAACAGTTGCTCGACAAAATCAAGAACTGCAATCATTTGTAAGATATGCAAAAAAAGAGAGAGCTTGGCCAATCAATGCTAGCACATAACAAATGTACACTATAAAACTCCTTCCAACTCACCTGTAGTAGGCTTGACAACTCGAGTTCCAACACAAAAACAATAATGTATATTAGATACAAGTGCCATGACACATCTCACTTCCACTATGGAGAGGATGAAATCAACTCAACCTTACAAAGGATCAGAATAAGTTACTGTTAAAATGGACAGAGTTCAGAAATAATGCATGTGGGTAATTGTATTTTGCCACCCCTGAGGGTAAGTTGAAACTCTCTCCCTAGTTTAAAGTTCCCAAATGATCTCACAACTTATTCTCTGTCAACAAGCTTTTAAAAGATAATAACTGCAATATTATTTTTTATTTTAATAAGTTTCAAATTCATGGCTCAATTACCAAGAAACCTCTTCTAATCAGAACAGTTGATTGATGGCTCTACCCCATCACAACATTTCACATCACCACATCAAATATTTGGACATCCACTCAATAAATTCTTGTTTATGATAGCTCTTGCTTACTCCCAACTCTATATTTCTTCTTTCACTTTTCAATGTTCTGATTATTATCGAAATAAAAGTCAAAAACTATCTTTCAATTACAATACCACTACTTATTGCAAATTATAAATCCTTCTCTCTGACACCTAAGGACATTTTCCTTATCCTTCCATTGAAGGATACAAATATTATGTCACATTTATAGATGTTTTTTTTCTTGCTATTGTTGGTGCATAACGTTACATCACAAATCTAAAGCCACTTAACACTCTATTCACTTGCATAAAATGATAAAAAATCAATTTAAAATTAACATAAAATATTTAAAAAAAATGATGGTGGAAAATATATTTCAATGAACTTAAAATTTACCTTCAAATTAATGGCATTCAACACCAATTTAGCTGTCTTTATATCTCGGAGCTGAATGATATGGCTGAAAAAAAAAACATTGCCATATAATATAAACGCCTAGGAGCCTTCTCATTTCCTCTGAATTATCTATAAATCTACGGATAAAAGTTGTAATTATTGCTACTTATTTGATAAACAGGCTCCACTCCATTAACACACAACAAAAATCACCATTTCAACTTCTACACCAACAAACAACTAAATATCATCACTTAAAAACCTTCGGTTGCCTCTGCTTTCCTTTACAACATCATAATATCCCACATAAAGTCTGACCCAAGGCATCAAAATTTATTTTCATGGAGTAAAGTTTGCAACACAAAGGCTACAAGTGTTATAATATCCATGCAAGAAATTTCATAGTCTTTTTTCATGTTAAAATTTATTGAATACATTTTCCTGGCACCACAACTCATGAACCACCCTCTTCTCCTGATCACCTCTCTTCCTAGCTATCACCCACCATCTCTCCTAATGCCCACCTCAATCATCTCATCAACCCAACTAGACACAACAGTTGCCTCTACCACTGTCTTCATTAATACATCTAACCATTCTTCCACAACCACACCACCCATACACCAATCCTCCTCCTTAGACTATTTTTGTCTACCCAAGGCTACTTCTCCAAGTCCTATCATGCATGCTCCTTCTCCCATATCGCAACTCGCACCCACCCCTACTAGCAAGCAACATCTCATGATAACTTGTGTTCAAACTGAAAATTAAAAAAAAAAAAAGAACATTTTTAGCCTTCAACATCATATTCAATCTCATGAAGCACCAACCACTTATAATCAAGCGGGCAAACTTCCTTAGTGGCGCAAAATTATTTCTTAAGAGTTCTTTACACAACAACAACAAGGTACATGGGACCTAGTGCCACTTCTTAAAAACAAAAATATTTTGGTATGTAAGTGGGTATTCAGAAACAAATATCATACAGATAGTACTATAGCTATAAATAAAGACTCCCAATAGCAAGGAATCGACTATCACGAGACCTTCAGTCCTGAGGCAAAATTTCGCACTATTAAATTACTTATTGCTCTTATTTTTAATAAAAATAGGTTTATTCAACAATTAGATGTATTTAATGCCTTTTTGCATGCCAAGCTTGATGATTCGGTCTATATGAAGCAACCATTTGGACTTGCTGGCACACCTTATCAGCATTATTTTGGTAAGCTTTTGAAAACCATATTTGGCCTAAAGTAGGCACCACATCAACAATATTATACTTTTTGGACTTTCTTATGCCAAAAAAATTTAATATTGAGTAAACCTGATCCTTCTCTTTTGATTTATAGAAAGAAAAAAATATACATCTATTTATTGGCTTATGTTGATGATATACTGATCACAGACAACTGTAATCACACAATTACAAAGTTAATTGAAAAATTACACACTCAATTTAACTTAAAGCAACTTGTCTTTATATTTCAGTTTCTCGGCTTACATATTAAATCTATGCCAATTGGCTATTTCATTATACAAGCATAATATATATAGGATCTTTTGAACAAAATAAATATGCAAAATGCAAAACTCATCCTAACTTATCTTTTCATCACATCCTACAAAACTCTTGAATCTTTTATTCTCATGAAGGATCCATATCTATATAGACAGATCATCAACTCAATTCAGTATTAAACTCTTACATGCCCCGATATCACATTTATCTTAGTAACCATATGCATAATCCCATAATCACAAAATTTCATTAGGTTGAACGTCTTAATCGATATTTAAAAGGAACCATTAATTATTGTCATCCTATAACTGCAAGTGATTTCTCTTTAAGTGCATATGCAGATTCCAACTGGGCTAATGACCATCAAGACAGGAAATCCACAATTGGATTTTGTATTTACATAGGACCAATTCTATTTTCCTGGTTAGTGAAAAAGCAGCCTACTGTTGCTCGATCATTTATGGAAGAAGAATATAGAGTCTTAGTGACTACAACTATAAATATAATTTGGCTTCAATAACTAGTTCGAGAAATGTTTCGCCAACACCACTTTATAGCGATAACACGTGTTATAGCATTATGCCATAACAATATTTTCCATCCTAGAATCAGACGTACGGAAGTGGATAGCTACTTTATACGGGATCATCTCAAGTTAAATCATATTACTCTTCATCATATAATGACAAATGATCAACAAGCAGATATACTGACCAAACCACACGTAATTTACCAGCAAGTTGACGATATCTAGTCTCGATTATCACCTTGAAAAGAGCTAATAGGAGGATATTCTCTATGATGATCTAGGATCTCGCTTCAAGTTCTCCCCTACCTCTCTTTGCTGCTGCGGTTGAAGTCCTCTCCTAGTTTCTCCTTTTGTATTCAATGCTTTGTGGTTGCCTGGGTTCCTAGCTAGAGTGCTTCCCGATATAAAGAGAGTTATATATATTAGTATACTTACGTAAGATGCAGCTATTTTACCTCTTACAATATTTACTAATTTTCCATTGATGTGTTTGTATAAGCCGCTCTATAGTCCGACCGTATAATAAAGATCACATAGATTAATAAAAGGAGTTGTGTTCTTGTGTCTCTATTCTTATTTCTCTTCTTCTACTACCATCTTTATTCTTTACATCAAATTTCAAGGGGAATAGGCCATGTGGGTTTTTTTATCATTGAGTTTTTTTATGTAAATTATATTGGGTGATTATGTGAGATATTTGTGCAAAATTCAGACAATAAACTCTGGTGTTCTACCACCATAAAATCTTTAACACTCAAAAATATAATAGAAAACACAATATGATTAAATGAAGTCATGAAAAACACGTCCGTCCGATAAAATTAAGTACATCTAATGCAACGTGAATTTAACCAACATGCCATTCCATGAGAATTTGCATGTTTTTCATGGCCAACTTCTGCAAAAATCAAGCTTTTGAGACATCCGGGGTCCCTACCCCGTTTTCCCTGTTGCAGGCTCCCGGATGGTGATCGTTCAAACCCTTTTGTTCACTTTCTCCCCTCGCCAAAAACCAAAATGCACCCCCTTCCTCCGGCAAAATCAAAGTCATCGAGTCCCCTGGTTTTCGCCATCCACTAACCGAAGTAGCCACCACTTCCGACTTTCCTGTTGCCGCGCCATTAGCCACAGCAATCAAGACGCTTTGGCCCCCTCATCTCCCTCATTCCACACCGTCTCTTCTACCATCCGCTTCGTCTTCACAGGCGGGGGCTCTGGAGGTCACATCTACCCTGCGATTGCCATTGCCGACGAGCTCCGGTCCCTCTGCCCTGACGCCAAATTCCTTTTCTTCGGAACCTCTGCAGGTTTAGAGAGCAACATTGTCCCTTCCGCCGGCTTTGATTTCGTCGACATCCCAGCCTCCCGCCTCACTCGGCCCATCCTCTCCCCTCATAATCTTCTCTTCCCTTTCCACCTGATTCACGCCATCGCCGCCTCCTGGATATTTCTTCGCCGCTTCCGCCCTGATGTTGTAATCGGTACAGGCGGATATGTCGCAGCACCAGTCTACCTCGCCGCTGTGCTCTCCGGAACAAAGATCGCGGTTCAGGAGCAGAACGCCTTTCCGGGGATCGCCAATAAAATCGCTTCTCCGTTCGCCTCAAAGATCTTTCTTGCTTTCAATGAGTGCTTGAAGCATTTCCCCAATAAGAAATGCTCGGTTTTTGGGAACCCTGTGAGGCTTTCGTTACGGAAATACGTGTCCAAAGCAGCGGCGACGACGCATTTCTTCCCTGATTTGGAGAAGCTTGGGGAGGAGAAGGTTCAAGTGTTACTCGTGCTTGGGGGATCACAGGGAGCGACTCCCATCAATGTGGCTGTCCTTAATATGTATTATGACATGCTTTGGAGGCATAAAAACAGATACATAATATGGCAAACCGGGAAGGATGGATTTAAAAAGATGGAGAGCTTGGTCAAGAATCACCGCCGGTTGCTTCTGACCCCGTGAGTCTTCCATGCTATCATTCTTACCATTGATAACTTGCATCTTGTTAGCTGGTTCTAAGTTTTACAAGTTGCATTTTGTTTATTAGGATAGGAAATAATTCTCTGCGCACGTTGTTCTGCCTGTGTTCTGCCTGTGTTTTACTCTAGTAATATACCTTCGCGTGCTGTTCAATCCCCCTAATTATTAGTGAGTTATAGTGGCCTTATTAAAGTTAATACCTTAATAACCCACAATAACCTCGTAATAATCCTGAAAAATATTAAAGCCCTGAGATTGTTGGAGCGGAAACACAGAGGTACCTCTTGAGGATTATTAGGAGGTTATTGGGCATAATAAATTTCCAATAACTCCCAATAACTTTCATGATTCTGCTCTAATAAATAGGCGTGATGTAACACACTCATCGGTATATTACTGAGTTTAGAGCTGCATGCTCTGTAAGTAATAATTTTTCTGCCTTCCAAAAAAATTAAGGACATGCTGAGACCATCTATTTGCTCAGTCCGTATCTTCGTTTTAGGATTTCTATTAATACTTTATTTCTCAAGTTAACATGTTACCAAATTTCAAGGTTTCTGCAGGCTATGGATCTAGCTTATGCAGCAGCTGATCTTGTTGTCTCCCGTGCTGGAGCAATGACTTGCACAGAGATCTTGACTACTGGGAAGCCGTCTATACTGGTACTGAACAAAAAGCTTGTCGCCTCACTCTGATGATGTGATTTTTTTTTTTTTACAGATATTAATTAAACTTATAGCAATAAGTAGTCAGGAGGATATGTAATATTTTTTTCAATCAAATTTTCGCTGACAGCTACTCGGCGACTTTTGTTATTGAATTTTTGTTGTCACCCCCTTGCAATATGGGAGTGGAGCACTAATACACCGGCTTAAAGAATATAGATAATGTACCATTTAATTTGGCAAAGTTTTTAACTTCTTCGAAGTAGATTTTAACATCTCTGATATTCACCAAATGTTAAGAAGTCAATGCTTATTATGGTAATAATGTCTTTCTCATATTAAAGTTCTTTCGTCACCCATCATACACCTCCTCGAATGGAAGCTTTTTGATATCACCAAACATCACTTTCTTAAACGAGTGCATTTCTGGGTGCATTTGACCACGAATAACTTTTCAATAACTTAATTATTGAGGGTTATTAAGAGGTTATTAGGATATTAACCTAATAACATCTCAATAACCTCTAAAAAACCTATTAATATATTTTGCGGTTCGACGCTCATCTTTTTTTTGTTATTCTAGAATTTTGTAAGGTTATTGAGGATATTAATCCCAATAACAATAATATAGCCCTCAAATACACTCAAAATAACATCCATAAACGCCAAAAGAGCCAAAGTAATACCACAACAAGTTGTAATAAGTGAAAAAAAAGGATAAAATAAAATAAATAAAATTGTCTGGTTTTCAGCCAATGATCGTTCTTAGATTCTTAGTAAGAGACGAACAACAAAGGGAAGAAACGGTAGAGGTGTAAAGAGTTGGAGCAGGGAAGAAGGAAGAAGGAAGAAGGAGAAAGGAAGAGATAACATAAACCGTGGCAACATTTCAGGGAGGAAGAGGGCTGAAGCCAGAGAAAGAAGTACTCGTGGGCTTAGCGACTCCGAGGGCTCCGTGCGTGGAGGAGAAGAGGAGAGGGCGAGCGACACTGAAGAGGAAGATTGGCAGCGATGGAGGTGTGATCATCTCGTGTGTGGTTTCGAGTGTTGAGGAAGGCTCGCTAGAGGGAGAAGATGCAGAACACAATGAGAGCTGATGTGCAGGTAATGCCGAGGCTCGCGAAGTTGGGCATATTTGGTGTTGGCGAAGTATCAGTGGAGAAGGAAGGAGTTGGTCGATGATCCGAGTGAAGGAGGAAGAAGTGCGGGAGCCGTGCATGCTAGAGAGAAAAAGTATCGAGCCGATGCTTGTAAGTAAAGCTAGGGGCTTATTTAATTTAGATTTTTTTTTTAATACAATCGAAGTTGTAATTAAGTATAATATAATATTTTGTTAATTTATGGCTGAAAGAATAAAAGAAAGTATTTTTGGATTGGAATGGGAAGGAATTGACAATTGAGATCGTGGAGGTAAGATTTGGGATTAATGTTTTAAATTAAATATTTTAATTTATTAATTAAAAGTTATTGTGTTCATATTAATTATAAATAAGATAATTAGAAATTAACAATATGAAAAAGGTAGGCATTAGATATTAAAGTTAGATAATTTAATGCAAATAAGAAGTTTAGTGATAAGACGTAATTTAGATAATTAAATGCATCTTATACTCTTATTTGTATTCATCTATAGGCCTTCAAATCTTGAAGAATCAATTGTAATGCCAAAAATGAGGATTAGTGTTTACACTTTTTGTAACAATGCGAGTACTTGTACTTCTAAATTATGGTAATAATACTTTATTTCTTCTAAATTACTTGCATTAAAATGATATTAGTCAAGATACTTTGGTATGAAAAGTTAAATATGATTATTTTGTCTTATTATTTAAATTGATTATATGGAAATGAATGTCAAATTTGCATGGTTGTACTTATTTCAAATGTTTATTATAAAAGAAAGATAATACTGATAATTAGAATGCAAATAAAATAATTTAAAATATGATTGCATGTGCATGTTTGGTTATGATGGAGCTCGTCTCTTTATTGTACTAGTGGGGGAACGTTAGAGGTACTCATGCATGCAATTAGGAAAGAATATTGATATTGATGTACTTTAAATAATACAATTTTAGGTGGTGCTTCTTTGATGGTTGTACATAAAATAATTTTGATAAAAAAATATAATATAACATAATAAATCTTTTGAAATATCTTGATTGATCACATTTATAAATATAAATTGTCACATGCTCCTATACTGAATTATTAAAATTTTAATTAGTATGTATATTATTTTTTTATTGTATTATTGTAGTTTAGGAGTGAGTATTCATTGACTTGTTAGCTTATTTTGTTTTAAATTAATATTCTTATTAAAATTGTTCAGTAAAGAGTAATAAAAGATGAAATATTTATAGAAGACACAGACAACTAGAAATAAGAAAAATATTATATCTTTTAATTTATACTCTTTTTTGTAGCAGTTTTTTTGTTTATGCATGGATGATTAAATGTTAGTTATAAAAATGATAATAAAAAACATGATTATCACAGTCCGACTCCCTGTTGCCATCTTCATTAATTTTAAGCCTCGGGCTAGGTTGTGACAAAGATTATATCAATGATGAGATTTAAGATTAAGTAAAAAAATATTGATGAAAGAGCCAACAAGATAATGAGAAAAAAATCTAATAATAATAATACTAATTGAAAGTTTAAGTTAAATCCAAGTAATTATTTTAATTCAGGAGATTAGATGCACCCGAGATTATGGATATGATAGGAAATGAGGAAGTACCACCTGTTGAAATGTAAATAGTAGGAGTGAGACTATTCAATCCTCTCAAATATCGAGCTATGGTGTTCTTCTTGGGCTCTACCAGCCAACATTTCAACATAAGTTGCTCGATTTTAGTTGTGTACTCTACTGAGAGATCTTTCTACTGTAAGCAGTAAAGTCTCAAGAATATGTCCCGTCTGTAATGTTTTGGTCGGTACTTGCCTTGTATTTTCAATTTCATTTAAAACAGACAATGATTTTGCTTTTTCTCTCATGTTGGCGTAGGTGCTTCAAATTTTCCACCAAAAATATGCACTCTTCGTTAAGCTAATTACAACTAGTTCTACCATTCTATTTGGTGGGATGTTATTGTTCTCAAAGAGAATTTCCATTGTTTGGATCCACTCAATGAATTCATCCAAATCCACGCGACCGTCAAAATGTGATTAGTTAATATTCATTCCAAAGTCCAAGCTTTTCTCTAATATTCAATGCCAACTTGAAATGACATTGGTTAATCGTCATTGGAAACTTCCCCATGAAAAGAATTCACTTTCTCTCCTTGATCTAGTGAGTCACCATTGTGGCTCTGAGTGACCCCTTTGGGCTATGTCCTCTCAAAAGCGGCAAATCTTTGTTGCAGTTGAAAGATTTCTCATTGCATATCCTTCAAATTAAATTTTTGGACCTCTTTACAGATTTCACCAAGACGGTGCTATGTAATTTTCTCCTGATCAAGTTTTTGGTAAATGTAAGATTGCAAATTAAAGGTTAGTCGGTGGTTTAGGGTTTTGGTGGCATGTTTCGCGGTGGATTTTTTTTTTAAAGGTAAGCAAGTTGGATTTTGAAAATTTTGGTTCAAGGCTAGGAATTATGGTTGGAATGGCTTAGGTATGGTGGGATTTTTTTTTTTGAAATTTTTGATATCATTTTGGTGGTTTTAGAAGGTATCGTAGAAGTGAATTTTATGGGAAGATAGTTGTAGAATAGTAAAGGAATAAAAATATAGGAGGTCGATGTTGTTTGGAAGAGGATAAGCTTCGTTTGGCGGCTGTCTTGGCTGAAAACAACAAAAATAACATCAAAATGACGCGGTATAGATGTTGGGGAGGCTCCCCACCTGTTCCTACTCAAGCTACAATCATCACTTGCAAAGGGAAACTTATTTAACACTCCATTAGGGTAGAAATTAGAAATTCCATCTCTAAAACACAAAACAAAATAGAAGTTTTTCTCATAATAGCATAAAATCTTGCATAAATAGGTTCCTCATATAAATAATTATGAGTAGAAATAATGAAATTGGAAATAAGTTGATAAAAAGCTAAGGATTATTGTTGAAATAGCCAACCGACCGGACTTGTGGTTCAGTCCTTCCAGCGATCACGGGAAATTGCAGAATCTTGCAATATTGTTGTGTGAAATCACGGGATTCCGCAATCTTGCGGGATTTCACATTTTAAAATAGAGCTCCCGTCAATGGACTAACAACCAATTCTTTGAGTGTGGCTCTAGGAATAAAATATTTTGAAGATAAGATAGTGAAAAATTGATTACACTTAATTTGAATAAATACAAATGAGGATAGAAAGTAATTGTTATGGCACACCAATATTGTAAAGAATTTGTATTTTGAAAATTTATTGGAGTTTATGGAGAAGTTAAAACCTTCTATAATAAGGTATGTAATAGTGCAAAGATGCATGAATTGCAAAGCACACAATCATTTTTATATGGTTTAGCCCACCTTTGGCTTATGTCCATGCCTAGACAAGTACAAACCTTAGGATTCCATTACCTCTAAACTTATCATAGTAAGCACAAATGCTCCTTTATAATGAGTGCAGGTGGAAAATTATCACAACGCAGATGACCTATTTTGAATTAATGATAACTAAGTTATAAAAATGATGGAATACACTCTTAATTTTTGCAATGAATTGAGAATAAAAGCTAGAAATTAAAAATTCTACAAAAAAAAAAAAAAAAAAAAAGGAAAATTAAACTTTCTTACAATACTTTGAACAGCGACATCATTGCACTTGCCTCTATGGCTTGCAGTTACGATTTGGCACTTTTAGATTACAAGCCAAATGGAAATTCATTTTAGAATTTAGAAGATAGAGGATATTTTGCTCTGAAGAGAAGAAAGTGAATTCAGATTTTGGGACTTATCAGAAAAACTATGAAGTGGATTGGAAGAGAATAAGGATATCGGTTTAGTACTTCAGTTACACAAAATTGGTAACTAATGTTGCTTTTGGGAATGCTTGAAAGCTTATTATCAATCTTAGGAAATGCTTTGAAATAAAGCTTAAAAAAATTCTAAAAATTGTGTCAGCTTTCAATGGTTTAAAAACACAATGTAAAAGCTGCTTTTCACAGTATAGCCTTTTTTACTACTTTTGAATTCAATCCAATCGTTGTAATATATTTAGATGTTGTTTAGTTACCTTACGAAATGCCTTTTTTTGCCAATGATGTGATCATAATATTTGAAAAGAAAATAAAAATAAAAAACTTAAGAAATGCTTTTGAAAGACTAAACTACTTTGGTGTCAAGAGGCCACCGAAATACAACAATGTGGCCCTTCAAATCTTATTAGATATTGTTTAATTAACTTGTCAGGTCATTTTTATTAAATGGGTCTGTAGTAACCTCTCAATGATGGACCCGGTAATATCAAACGGGCTCAGTTTAGCATTCTTTGTGAATACAATAACAAACAAAATAAATAAAGTGGAGTAGAACGAATTTAGTTTTTTCATTACCGTTTAATATGGCATATTCATAAAAATACAAATTGATGTATCATTTTGAATTGAATAATCATTTCAAATCCAATGTTGATAAAATTTAATGTCAATTTAATATACAAACTAGTTAGATTTTAATTGACTATTTTATTCACAAATTTTAAATTTTGTAGTAATTCAGATAAAGTTCAAAATAACTTGGATTTTTGCAAAATATACTTGAGCAAAATTATGTGAACCAAGAGCCAATGTGTAAGGAAATACTCCAAAGCAACCTATTGTCCCCTTGAATTGTTCTCCCTTCACCTTCCTTGAGTATTTGAAGTCATCCTTGCGCATCTGCAACAAAGTTTCAAACTTCATTTGATTCTATTGGTTCGCGAAGATACCCTTGAGTCAATCTATTTGAATCAAGTATCAAAATAATCCTATGATTACTTGAATCCAAAAATTATATCTTTCAATAATATATTTGTTATCATTAAAATTATGATTTTAATAGAAGGTGCACTAGTAAGATGGACAAATAAAGTCACTATACAAGTATTAGGCATGAAAAACTCGTAGGCCAAGGATAAGTTTTATTGAAGTTGTGCGGAAAAATATTGTTGAAAATCAGGTCAAGGTAATATTCAACTAAAATGATTGGAGATTGATAATATTCAAAAAGCCTATTCCCATTGTTTGGGAAGTTTGATGGCGGTGATAATATTGATGATGATTTACATAGAAGGCGCATATATGGCTTTTAAATTTGGTTGGAATCTATGGAAATTTTTTTAAAAACTTGAGCTTTTACATTTGAATGAATAGCAATTCTTCCTTAAAAGTTCAAAGTTGCTAATAGAACTTTGCCATTGGAGCTCAAACTTTGTATATGCTTGGTTTACAGTTATAGTTTCTTATTATTTTTTGTACATACCTTTTTTTACCTGATATTTGCTATGTTTCTTCCTCAGATACCTTCACCATATGTTGCAGAAGATCACCAAACTAGGAATGCATACATAATGTCAGATGTAGCTGGTTCAAAAATTTTAATTGAAGATGAACTTGATTCTAGCAGCCTTGCGACTACAATTGATGCGGTTTTAGGTAATATGAATATCTTCTTCTATTTGTGTGAAAGCACCTAAAACCTGTTTTTTATTTTGACTTGTGGGAGTGTTATGTACTCTCTCTCTCTCTCTCTAATATACTATTATGTAATGCGAGGTCCTTCACAAGAACCAACTATTTCTAATCTAGTTTTTCTTTGAACCTGGCATGTTCAAGGTCCTTCATTTGATCCCAACTCTTTAGGCCCATATATTTAAGTTTTAACAATTCCTGAACCTTTTGATAGTGGTTTTGATTGAAGGCTGGCATTAGTGACTTGGTTGGTGGCAAGACCATGCATATGGTCGGCACTCATACTAGGTTTGACAGTAGCTGTTTTGCATTTGGGAGCTTAATGTGTTAAGCTGTTTGGTTTTGATCTGCTGAGATAAGGGTCAAGAGGAAGAGAGATTCAAAAGAGATAAAACATGGGGAAGTATTTATGCTCTTGAATGCATCTCTAAACAAATGTAAACAACTCTCTTTTTTTATAGCTGTAGGCATCCATGAACTTTACCTAATCACATAAATTATGTGTCACTAGTTTGTGAAGTTCAATGCTGATTTCTTTTTTCATCATTATTTTTGCTTCAAGTTTATCATTCTCGTCCATGCACTTTTCTCTAATAATTTAGGCATAATATATGTGTAGCTGTATGCTTGCTTTGGAGCATAGATTACATTGTTTAGGCTGGTCTTCCCAATGATTTAACGATTTGACCAATGTGTAACTTGATATTGAGTTTATTTACTAGACATGTGGTGTCTAACTTAAAACAAGCTCAAGAGAAACAACACCATGTTCTTAGTTCTAGCCATCTTGGTTGCCATACGTAGAACATTCTTAAATCAAAATATGTTTTGCATTTAGAATAATGGGGCAATGCCTCTTCAATTTGTAAACAACACTTTAAAAAAAGACAAAAATAGAGGGGTTTCTAGTTTAAAGGAATCTTTTGAAAATCATCATCCTAATCTTCACTATAAGCTTTATCCCAATCCTTTAGTATTGCCATTTAGAATCCTCAGTTTTGATTGGTCCATGCTTTATATTGTGTGATATGTTTAATTTATTTGTTTGTATAGTAATAAAATTTTATGCCAAAATATAAGAAGGCAAGAGAGCAAACACACTAGAGATCACACACAAGCCAAAATTTATGTGATTTTACGAAGTTCTCCTATGTCCACATCCACATACAGAGTAAATATTCCGCTAAGCTTTAAAATAGAGTTATGGTATGGTATAGAGATATATATTTTTTAATGTCATTGATTGAGATAAATGCTACTTCTTACAAAGATATAAGTAAAATCTAATAAAGAAGACATTGTTGTTATTATCTTTTTATCCTCTTCTGTGTTCCAAAAGCTTGTCTCTAATTTGTCCTAAAACTTATATCCTGTTATGGAAATGAAACTAGCTACACATCTTTCTTCTTGAAAAATAAAATAATTCTCCTACATGCACACCAAAAAAAGTCTTCATTTTGCTCTTTGTTATGAGTCCCTCTGTCGTGTCTCCCTCTTCTTTCTATCTTTTTTTGGTTGTGAGATGCCAAATCATTCTCTCTTAGGCATTTTTTCTATAATGATAATATTGAAAGTGTTTAGAGACTAAATTTATCACAAGTTGCTATAGAGATAGTATTTATTTCAAGGCATGCTAATATATCATTAGCTTCCCCTGTCTGTACTATTAGGGGGTGAACTCCTTTGAATATGCGCATACAAGCATTCATATATAAGCTATTTCATTTTTAATAACATACATTCTTCTGAGACATCTTCATTCATCTACTAACATGCATACTTACTTTGATGTATAACCATTCATCATACATATCTCTCATATCATTCATATCTCTTATCACACATAAATATCATATATCACATATATCTTTCCTATTCTGTCTAACTTATCATGCATATCTTACTTATCGTATCTATCATGTCTATTATATATATCATGCATCTCATTCATATTTTTTATGCATATCCTGTATACCTTTTGTCGTGTATATCATTTCTTTCTAAAAATATGAAGAATCTAACTAGAGCATACATGGGGTCAAACTTACTTTTAGAAATAAAGAAGATTATTGAAATTTAAGAATATAATTAGTCACCTCGGTTACCACTATAGATTCTTATTCTTTGGTAACTAGTTGGACGTTGTGATAACTTTTATGTTGATATTAATAATCAAATAAATAAATATCAAACTTTAAGATTCAACCAATTTATGTTAATCAAATTATTCTTCTTAGCAAGGATTAATTTACCTGAATTTATGGAGCTGCGCCCTATGACTAGCCTCCACATGCTTGCTGTATGACTTACCTATAAATTATCGTTAAAGTGAGTTTCACAGTTACAAAATTCTCCCCAGAAGTTTGCCGCAAGCTTCGGCTCCCCTTCGATCGTGCGGTTTGCACCTGCTACAGGAACCCGAATGTTAGAGCAGTGGGATCCTACTGCCGAACTTGATCGAATAGAGAGGGAGGAGGAGGAAGAAACACAAAGTTTTTGATGGAGGATCTTTCCCTTTCGACGTCATATAGAGGTAAATATCGCAGGATAAGTCGGTTTGACAGAGAAACGACTGGATTAAGAAGGGATAATTTTGGGTTAATTTAGTTTAATTAAAGTTATAACTTTCAATTTTAATATCTTTCAACCTATTCATAATTTTCATATAGTGTTCAATTTCAAATTGATTGATTTGACGCGTAAAATTTTGTAAAACCATTTTGGTTGAAATCTGATGGATGCAAAGTTTAGAGTACATTTTAAGTTTGTCAAAAGTTTTACATGATTTCCTATAACTGTTTATTATAATCTCCCCTTATAAATTTTCGTCATCAAAATTCATGAACTCCATATCAAATATTATTATAAAGATGAAACATGAAGTGATTACGAAAGTCTGTTTCTTGTTAAGTGGTAACTAAAATATATGTGGTAAGAAATACATCTAATAAATCCAACATAACACCTAAAAGACATTTCATCCATCAGACTTTATGCATTAGCATCAGTGTCAACATGTTCTTTTGTTCTTGATGAGTTAAGAAATAAATTCTTGGGCGAATGTTTGCCTTCGGTTGCTCCTTATGAGTTACGGTGTCATCTTCTGTTATCTTTTACTGACCACTTCTAAAAGCTGATCCTTTCTGAAAAATCATCTGGGCTAGATTTCTTTTAGGGGTAGTTTTTTATGTGGATCTCTGAACATAATTGGGACAACTTCTCCTCCGATATTCAGGCTGTCTGCATAAGTATCACTCACACCTTCAACCCATAAAAACATTCACCACGATGTTGCATTCCGCACTTACCAAAGGTCTCTATATTGCTACTGTCAGCCTGACCAATAACTTTACAAGTGTAGGATTTTATCTTCTTCCCAATAGACTTTTGATCCCCGAAAATATAGTTGTGCAAAATATATAAAGTTGACTCCGCTATGTAACGGTGTCAAAAGCTTGATGTAATAGTTTATGAATAAGAAATTTAAACAATTTATGTTGGGATGCTACGCAAATATACGTATCATTATCAAGTAATGAAGGATTTTCTATTTAATCCCTAAATATCGATCCCACGGAAAAGATTTAAATTTGAAATAATAAATTAACTAGGAAATTCATAGAAAGTAAAACAAAATTACTGTTACTAATTTCGATTGTTGAGATATTATCAGAACTAAATTATTTAACTACTAGCAAAACTGAAGTGCAAAGTTTAAACAATAACTACTAAACTATTAAGCTATTAAACTATTAAACTATGTAACTATGTTTATGTGATGAAGATTTCTTATGTGAAAAAACATCTTTCTCACTACAATGAGATTTTGGTAAAATGAGATGAGATAAATGGTTTTAATATGTATTGTGTCAAATAGAAGCAGTTTTAATTCTCTATCATGATACAGTGTTATAGAAAATCATTGGCTAATCCCAGGTTTAGTCCCTAAATCCGTGGCTAAGCTGGAGGATACTGACTCCCACTTCTATTCACCTGAAAGCTAACTCTCGCTTTAGTTCTTTAAACACTAAGACCGAATTGGAGATTTTAGTCTGTCATCCTAAAATCTTTAATTCTTCACTCAACAATGTATATTTTCCTATTTATTTGCACTTAATTCCATGAACGAAATTCTTCTTCATGGAATCACATGTGATCCTCAATCTGTTGTAGAATTCATACTTCATTTTCCAGATTATATATTTCACAACAAATTTTGACAATTCAATTGGCCAGATTGAAAAGTAAATTAAGTTCGGAGTTAAAAAATCATCACAATTTATTTTATATTTTAACATTAGCACATCCATAATATCTCTTCATTTCACAATATCTCAGAGTAAGGAGAAAGATAAATGAAACTACTCAGGGTTCATTAGAAATATACAACTAAACACAAATTTCATATATAAAAGAAAGTTCATACAACACTAATAAACAAACAACACTTATCTGAAACTCTTTCTCAAAGCAAATTCCTTGTAGTATTTCCTAAAAAATGTAGGAAGAAGAAATCTCACTTTTTGCCTTTTCCAACGCTCTTAGAGAAGAATTCACACTTAATCTCAACTCAAAAACTCTAAATTCTTAAAAAAAACCACTAATAAACTATAAAATGGTAGTAGAATGAAGATGAAAAAGTGTATGGTGTGTAAGAGATTGAATTAAGTCGAGGAATGACGAAAAAGGAGCCAATTTTTTGATCAATTTCCACCCCAAATAAAGCATAGAGTCTCTTCAATAGATGCATCCAAAAACTCTTTAAAAAACATTCAAATTCGTCGAATCTTCTAGAGACAGGGTCTGAACTGACATTGACGCCATCGACGCCAGTGGTTCGCAATTTAATTCGCTTATCTTTGTCAAAAGACGTCGTTGGCTCCCAGTCTGGCACCGTCGGCGCTGAACAAATTTTTAACTTCTTAATTTTAACTCCAAATTTCATTCTTTTTGCTTCATTTTTG